GAAGCTTTGAACAACATGAAACCCTGGACAGCCCTGCAGACTCGGCATCTGTAATGTATGCAGCGTGTGTGTATGTGTGTCTGTGCGTGATTGTGCGTGTGTGGGTGTGTACGTGCATGTGTGTATATATGTGTGCGTGCAAGTTTGTATATGTACATTTGTATATGTGTGTGTGTGTGTGTGTGTGTGAGGTATAATTGGTGCTGAGTGAGTATGAGGAGGTTTTCTTCACTAAGTCGAGACTTGAGAAAATCTTCCTCGTTGTTGTTTGTCTTGCAGCTGTCAGCGTGCAGCTGCACAGATGTTCAGTTTCCTGGCTGAAAGCGTCCAATCGGCGCCGCCGTTCTTTGCGTTTCTGCAAACCGTCCTCACAGAAAACTCCAGAGTTTGATCGTTGAGCGAGGAGTGTCTGTCATCAGTAATTTACACATGTAAACGTAAACTGGACCAACACTTCAGTGAACACCTGAACACCTCAGAGCTGAGACTACGGAGTCACATGACCGCATTGTAAATGAAAACAGCAAAAACAAGGCAACACACACACACACACACACACACACATGCAGATGGAGGGACTGCCAGACTCACCAGTGGTCGTGTGGCATTGTTGCGTTGCCGACGGTTACTGAGCATCTCACTCAGCTCTCACACACCAGCAGCCCTCCCCTCTCTCTCTCCTGTAACGTCAGGGTCCATTAAGCTTATTGCGCCTTAATCTTTCAGAGAGAGCGAGCGAGAGAGCCAGTAGCAGATGGAGGATGGCGGGGAGGGGAGGGGGGAGGGGCGGAGGGGAGGATGCTCTAACTGGATGTGGTGGAGTTTGAGTCCGGACCGTGAATGTTTGCACATCTCTCCCCCTCATCAGGCTCTGAGCTTCAGCACGTTCAGCCTGAAGTGAAATCCCGATGACCTTAAAGCGTCTCTGTGCAGGTGAGCGTTACAAACACTCGCCATCACTACCGTCAGCTTCCTGTCACACTCACTTCATCCTAGAGTAGTTTACCCTCAAGTTACATCGCAGATTACCTGCACTCAGTAAAGGCACAGCCACATGCTGCAGTTCCTCTGGCGTCCAGCAGAGGCTCCAGCGGAAATAACATGTTGACAGCTTAGAGATAATTTCACACTACGCAACTTTTTAATGACATCATGTGACAAATAACATGGCTTCTGTGAGGTTACTGTACTAACAGGCCAAGAATGAGGCGGAGGTGATGAAGCAGCTCACACACAGACACCGCGCCTCTGCAGGAAGACCATCCACACCACCCAACCAACCAATGAGCTTCTTGGGGTGACGAGCAGCACGTGTGGACGTTGAAGTGCGAACCTGCTGGAGGGAAAACAGCTGTCGGACACGCGGTCACCTTCCCCACAGACGCACAGCGGGCCACATGTGGGCAGACACACGGGAGGAAGACCTCTGACGAAGGACTTACAGGCAGTGCGTGTTATTGGATTATTAAAGACGTGCGTTACGAGAGCTGTCCGCACATTTCTGGCGTTTAAGCTATGTGCTCGTTCTTCAGGTGTACGATGTGCAAAGTGAAGCAGCCAAAACGAGGCGTGCACGTGAAGTGAGCGTGCAGACTTGGTGTGACTGCTCATGCATGAGTCACGCACACACCGCCCGATGGTAACGATCCCGTTTACGGAGGCCTGATTGCACCATGTGCTTTTATGGCTGCTCTGTAATATCACTCACTTGTCGGTTGTAACGGCGAGCGTCACCTGTGGAACATGTCCCATGATCCTCTCCAACTCGCTGTGTGGCCGCGCTGCAGACTGACACCTGGGATCAAACCTGTGACCTGCCCTCTCTCTCAGGTTTCGGGCTCAGTCGGGAGCAGCGAGCGACTGCAGCTCCCAGCACTCATCCTTCCGCTCCACCGCAGAGAGCATCTTCATCTTCCAGCTGAAATCAGATCAGTCTTTAGGCTCACAGGAAGACAAAGAGCTTCCAACGTGCTCCGTGTTTTTCTCCTGATGTGAACGTCGGGAGCTAAACCAGCGGACGTCCCAGAGACTAAAGGTTAAAGGTCATCATGACCTTACTGAGCAGGTTTTTGGCATGTCAAACATTAGTCATGACAAAACGTCACAGACAGGTCTCACAGGAAGCAATGACATCATGATGACATTTAAGGTCAGCTTCACCGTGACATCGTGACGTTCTGCAGTAACTCTCCTCGTGGCCGTTCTGTGACCGTATGGCAGTAACTCCTGTTCCGGACTCTGCGGTGTGACGTGTGAACGCACCCAAACAAACGTCTCTTTAAAGCTTCCAGGTCAAAGTTTTGTTCGACAAGCTTTGGAGTAAAGCAGGAGTCAGCCTGACTTTAGTCTTCAAACTTCTAGTTGACGGATGTCACAGGTTTTTAAAAAAGCAAGTTTAAGTGGACATGCAGGCTACACAGATGTGGAGGCTCCAGCACGTCAGCACAAGGATTTCACTTTTTCATCCTTGTTCCTGCTAAATGTTCAAAAACAGATCAAACTGATGAAAGAAATAAGCAGAGGAGCATAAACGCAGCGTCCTTATCAGCATTTCCACAGTTCTCAATATTTGGCTCATTAATAACAGTATAATTGCTTCTTTTGTTCACAGTAATCTGTTTCACCTTTGAAACCAGCTCATATCGATTTCCTCCTGTAAATCCTGCATGAGCTGAGCGGCGCTTCCTTTTCATACTGGAAATATTTGTCTGCATACAAACAGCAGTTAGAAATGTTTTGAGCTCATTAAATCCATAATCAGCATCTGTTAGCGTCTCGCTCGCCTCCAGGTTGTGTGCTCGATCCTCTCTGTGGGCAACAGCAGTCGCCTGAATCTCACCTGGAGTCTTCTCGTGTCTGTAACAACAGCTCGTGTGGATCTGCGTCAAACGCCGCAGATCTGTGCGCCGCAGTTTGTCAGTCTAATTTAACCATCAGGATCATCAGGACCATCAGAACCATCAGGACCATCAGAACCATCAGAACTATGAGGACCATCAGAACCATCAGGACCATCAGAACAATCAGAACCATCAGGATCATCAGAACCATCAGAACCATCAAAACCATCAGGATCATCAGAATCATCAAAACCATCAGGATCATCAGAACCACCAGGACCATCAGGACGATCAGAACCATCAGGATCATCAGAACCACCAGGACCATCAGGACTATCAGAACAATCAGAACCATCAGAACCATCAGAATCATCAAAACCATCAGGATCATCAGAACCATCAGGACCATCAGGACGATCAGAACCATCAGGATCATCAGAACCATCAGGACCATCAGGATCATCAGAACCATCAGAACCATCAGAATCATCAAAACCATCAGGATCATCAGAACCATCAGGACCATCAGGACCATCAGAACCATCAGAACCATCAGGATCATCAGAACCATCAAAACTATCAGGACCATCAGGACCATCAGGACCATCAGGACCATCAGAACAATCAGAACCATCAGAACCATCAAAACCATCAGGATCATCAGGACCATCAGAACCATCAGGATCATCAGAACCATCAGAACCATCAGGATCATCAGAACCATCAGAACCATCAGGACCATCAGGACCATCAGAACCATCAGGACCATCAGAACAATCAGAACCATCAGGACCATCAGAACCATCAGAATCATCAAAACCATCAGGATCATCAGAACCATCAGGACCATCAGGATCATCAGAAAAATCGGGATCATCAGGACGATCAGAACCATCAGGATCATCAGAACCATCAGGACCATCAGGACGATCAGAACCATCAGGACGATCAGAACCATCAGGACCATCAGGATCATCAGAACCATCAGGATCATCAGAACCATCAGGACCATCAGGACGATCAGAACCATCAGTACCATCAGAACCATCAGGACCATCAGAACCATCAGGATCATCGGGATCATCAGAACCATCAGGATCATCAGAACCATCAGGACCATCAGAACCATCAGGATCATCGGGATCATCAGAACCATCAGGATCATCAGAACCATCAGGACCATCAGAACCATGAGGATCATCAGAAGCTTCAACAAAGTCACCAGATCCTTTAAACCATAATCCATCCATCCATGGATCCTGACCTGCACCCACCATCCTTCCTGGGCCTACAGGTGCAGGTCTGGATCCATGGATGGAGGAAGCAGGAAGCAGGGCTTCATTTGGACGGGGTGGACGAGCAAACACAATGGACTAAATATAAAGGAGCACATCTGGCTGAAGTGAGCACAACTGTATTCATTGACAGCTTCGGTTTATGGCCTGACGCTGACTCTGGGCACCACCGAGGGGTTTCACTGCTTTTTGCTGAGCAGCTGTGTAAAGTGACCGGACCAGAGCCGGTGCCAGAGCTTGGTTTAATGGACCGGCACAATAAGGAACCATCCTCTACGAGCAGATTGGCCCTTTAAAAGGAAGAAGCTGCAGATAACAAGCTGTTCTCCAGAGCCTGAAACACAACATGCTAAATCAAGCACATCAGAACGATGTTTGGTAGAGTGAAGCTCAGGCTGAGGGAGGTGAAGCTGCTGCTGCTCTTATTTTATTTCTGGCAGTGAAACAACTTGAGTGCGGTCTTCGTGTGATTCAGGGTTGTTACTCACCGAGCTCTCAGAGTGCTGACTGTAGACTTATCAATCCTACAGAGAGAGAGAGAGAGAGACACCGTCAACATGTGGTGCACTGAGCGCGCTCTGATAACAGCAGGAACGTTAGGACGTTGCCGAGGTGGAGGACGAGATTTCTATCTGCATTCTCTATTAACCTCAGTAACCTGAGTGAGGTGTGAGGTTCACAGCAATAAAACCTGTTTATTAAAGTGCTGCAGCGCCACCGAATCAGGCGTGTTTCTGTAATGACGGCTGAAGCGCAATAAAACAGCACAAACCAGCAGACGCATGAACCACTGGATGACTTCACAGAAAGTCATCCAGTGGTAGAAAGTGGGTTCCTGAGGCTACGTCCACACTAAGCCGTTTTTGTTTAAAAACACCGTTTTGGCCTCCCGTCCACACTGAGGCGGCGTTTTCCTCAAGGAAAAACGCAGCGTTTTGGAAACGCTCTCGAAAAACAAATACATTTCAAAACGGAGCTGTGCCGTCGCAGTGTGGACACTCGAACACGCAGACTTTCTAAAACGATGATGCATTTTAGTCGTGTGAGGCAGTCATGTGACCAATTAAACTAAGACAGCGGAGGGCGTTACACAGCAGTGGTTTTGATTGGTCTCAGCTTTGACAGCCCTGTTACAGATTAATATCAGTCTGTACGTGCTGCAGATTGCTTTCCTTCTAATTCTTTAATCCTCACTGGCTTTTGCGCATGTGCAGGACTGCAATGTAAGTGTTTTGGACCGTTTCAATGTGGACGCACAACTCTTTGAAAACGCTACTGTGGACGTTTTCAGATGAAAACAGCGTTTTCAAATCTATTTGGGCTGGTGTGGACGTAGCCTGAGGCACAGAGGTTTTGACGTGATGTATAGGGACAGAACGGGACGTTTGTCTCTCTGTCACCGACTGCGTTTCCATAAGTTCGACCTGAATGGCTGAGCTCCTCAGCCTCTCTCTTTGCCCCACTGCGGGGTGACCCAGGGACTTGTTTGGGCTGAGCACGCCCCCTTTCACCGGGCTCGGTCTCCTGAGCACCACACACAGGTCTGACTGGAGGGTGGAGTTCAAACCACCCAGGGTGTGAGATAACCGCTGTTCATCAGTACCTGCATCACACCTCACTCACACGGTGTCCTTGGAAGTGCTGATGATAAAGCATCCAGACGCTGCAGAGACATGACTCATGTCTCATGCATGCTGTAACGCAGGTCTATCTGTCATACACACCACAGCGCTCGTCACTGATAGACTCTGACACTAGAGCAGGCGACATGACCAAAAATATTTATCACGATATACGTTTGAAAATTTGCGATAACGATATAACTGATGATATAATTGACACGAGACAAAACACAACTCCACAACTTTATTAGTGCAAAAACCCATCAATGTATTTTCACTTAACCCTCCTGTTATGTTGGCTTGAAGGAGCACTGATTACGTTCCTGGTCAATTTAGATTTTTTTCGCTTTCTGTAGTGATGCAGATGACATGTGACATCTCTTCTGTTCTGGGTCAATCTGACCCGCAACATAACAGGAGGGTTAAACAAGCAGCTGTTTTTTTTAT